ATGTCAATACGCTCTTCTCTTAGATTATTCTTCATTTTCACTTAGCAACACAATAGTAATATTAAAATAACGACCAACACCTCTACAATAAAAAAAAATACAACTAGCTATCAAAAAGAGACTTTGCAGTCTAAACTGACAAATAAAATAAATCATTTGACATGTGTAAATGGCATAGGCAACTTAGATACATTGGAAGCTTAAATTAAACAACCCCAAATGGTACACAGAACGACTATTTGACGTATTTTGTAAAAAGGCAAGAACTAAGCTATTAACATCCTAATACCATTCGATAGGTAATTAAAAATTGAATTTCCCAGTAAGTTAAAAAATATGGGGTTGTATTTAAATTAATCAAGTTAGAGCCACTCAAAGTTCTTATTTGATTAGTTTAAATTTGTGGACACTCTGTATAACATGGTAAGTTTATTATCATTGGGATATATAATATTATACGTTGTTATACTTCACTATAAATTACGCTTACATAACTTAAATACTTCTAAAGTATTTGGACACATGAAAATTAGATTAGATTTTGATTAAATCCGTATTATTTAAAAAACCTTAAGATTTAGGTATTATAAACCTATTAAAACAGACACCTATTTTGTTCAGTTAATATACAGGACATTCCATTAAAAAAAACGCAACTTTAATACTTTTAGAGCTTTTGGGACACCCTGTACATTACGTAAATATTTTTGAAATGTGCGCCCGGTAGGCGTCGGAAAATTCATCAAATAATAATTTTTAAAAATCAAACGGTTTGGCCGCTAACTTACGTGCCGTATAGCGTGAATAACCCTGTATAAATCTCGTGTCACGGTGTTTGTGATCGAACTCCTCCGAAACGGCTCTACCGATTTTTATGAATTTTTTTATGTATATTTGGTAAGTATCAGAATAGGTGGTAAAGTATAATTCATACCGCTAGGTGCTTAGGGTGTCTGGGGTCGATGGATTTTTATGCGTATCGTATGATGATTCGACGTGGCCAGGACATCATTCTGCGATGTTTTTTATTTCCACTCCATTTCCGATCCCCACACACTTACAATACATTTGTTATTTTTTATATAACAACCAAAATATTCACTAGAAATAATTTATATGGCAGAACAAGGTTTGACGGGCCAGCTAGACGAAAGTATTCCAGTAGCACCAAATCTAGCGAGTTAATCTATTCTTCGTTGATTCTATATCAAAACCCGATATATCGATTCAGATTATACGAATCAGAAGGTTGCGGCTAAAGTATTTAATTTTTTTAAAGTATCATGGATCTATGGAGGACTGTCAAAAATTTTAAATTTACTTCCAGGTCCACTAAGGGCTTGTTTTTAATCGAATTCGTCGTTCCCAGGCACAAAAACCTACATTCGCGCCTGCTACAGAATCATTAGCCCCTCGCATCAAATTCCCATGAACGAAAAACGATGCGCCCATTTGGACCCTCCAGCCCTTACGCCGATTTCTTGCAACGAAGAGCCATGCAGCGCAGCTTATTGGGATGGCTTCTGGGGCCAGTGCTCAGTATCATGTGGAGAAGGCGTTCAGCAGTTTATTCCGCAGTGCAAACGCAATCTCAATGGTTAGCAAAAAGTGCAACTAACACGATATTCTCAAAGAAAAATATCGTTTGTAGGAAAACTGATCGTTGTTAGTGATGTGCAATGCGCTCCCAACAAGCCAAGCCCAGAAACCAGAGCCTGCCAGGAACGGGAGTGCGAGTTGTTTAGAGGACTGTCCGATAACGAACTGCCCCAGACGGCGGAGACTGGCAGACCTGCAATTATCAGCAGAAAGGAATGGAGTGTTGGAAGCTGGTCCTCGGTAAGGCCACTGAGCTTTGCCTAAAAGCAGCAACGATTTGTTTAACAGCTTAACACTCACATAGTGCTCAGTGACATGTGGAAATGGACACAGGACACGGTCAGTCATCTGTCCTTCGGGACAGTGCCATCCTGAGAATCGACCAGCACATGCGGAGTACTGCAATCAGGGCTCTTGTGATTCTTCGAATTACGACCCTTCACCCTCACAGCCCAAAATTGCAGTGTCGCCCCAGTTTACTCATCGAAGTGGAATTTCATCGTGGCTGGTTACCGAGTGGTCTCACTGTTCAGTACAATGTGGTAAGTCG